TCTAATCCTGTGTCCTCTCTCCCTCCACAGGTGAAGCCTGGGGGTGCGGGGAACCAGGTCATTTCCAGGACTATTGTCCTCACATGGAGGTTGGCACACTGGTCCAGATCCCACACTCTCCTCATGTCTCCCCAGGTTGAGCTGGGACGTACCGAATACCAGTGAGTATTCAAGGGGGTACACATCAGGCCTTGGTGGATTCCGGTTGTGATCAGACCACAATACATCAATGCCTGATTGAAAACAAGGCATTGGGAAAAGCGTGTAAGGTAAAAGTGAGGTGTGTTCATGGGGATCTACATGAATATCTGCTCGTGTCCATCACTATTGAATTTCAGGGAGAAAAACAGTGTTATGGCAGCGGTTAGTCCTTGCCTTACCAATACTTTAAATTTGGGAACAAATTGGCCACAATTTCGGGGGTTATTAAAGGAACTGGCAAAGGATGGCTCCTGTAATGAGGAATGGGGTGCAAACTGTGCACCTTCAGACAGAGATGAGCTTCCAGGGCTGTCACACACTTCTCCAGACTCAACTTTATCAGGGGGGCGGGGAATCGCATAGGGAGGCCAATCCCAAAATCCCACCCCAAATCCCAAAATCGGGGATCCCCTGGGGGATTTCCCCCTGCAGCAGTCATGTGATGACACTCTAAAGCATGCCTTTGGCCAAGTGAAAGAGGAGAGGGCACTCGCACACCCCTATTTTTGTATAATAAAGGATAAGTTATAGAGAGTGACACAGGACACTCAAATAGAATAGATTATAACACAGTTAATGATTCTGAAGAGTTGTAGGGAAATGCCTTTCCATACGGCTCATAGTAACCCTACGGCAGGACATTTGGGCCAAGAGAAAACACAGCGGCTAACGGCTTGTTTCTACTGGCCAGGCATTTATGGCGATATATGCAATTGGTGTGCGGCTTGCTGTGAATGTCAACTAGTTAACCCCCCGGCCATACCAAAAGCACCTTTGTGCCCTCTCCCCTTAATCAAGGCCCCCTTCAAGAGAATTGGTATGGACCTCGTTGGGGCATTAAACCAGAGTGCATGGGGGTACCGTTTAGTATTGGTTCTCATGGACTATGCAATACGATACCCGGAAGCAGTGCCTTTTCGCAACATATTAGCAGGCGGTGTTGCGGAGGTACTATTCCGCATCATCTCCTGGGGTTGGAATCCCGAAAGAGATTCTTACTGATCAGGGCACCACTTTTATGTCATGTATCTTGCATGAGCTATATGAATTACTGGGCATTAAATTGGTTTGTACTAGTGTTTACCATCCACAATCAGACAGGCTGGTTGAACAATTTAATCAAACCTCGAAAAATATGATTTGTAAGTTCACTCACAAAGATGAAAAAACTGGGACAAGTGGCTAGAACCCCTGTTTGTTGTGCGAGAGGTCCTGCCTCTTCGGGGTTCTCCCCTTTTGAGTTATACGGAAGATGGCCTTGTGGCGTGTTAGACATCATTAGAGAAAATTGGGAAGAAGGACCTTTACATAGTAAAAGTGAAATTCAGTATGTTCTTGACCTGAGAGCAAAACTCCACACACTCGGTCAATTAACTCAAGAGGATTTGCTCAAGGCTCAAGGATGACAAAGCTACACCTAAAACAGGGGTGTTCAGCTACGGGAATTTACACTGGGAGAGAAAGTGCTCGTTTTACTTCAAACATCAAGCTCAAAATTACTCACCAAGTGCCAAGGACCCTATGAGGTCACATGATGAGTAGGAGACGTCGACTATGACGTGAAACAGTCTGACAGGGGTGATTCGCTACAAATATCACCTCAACCTCCTAAAACCATGGAGAGAAGTGGTCCCTGTTTCTCTGGCGACAGCAGTCCCAGAGGGAGCTGAGCTGGGACCAGACCAGAGGTACCCAATGCTATCAAGTCAACTCCGGTCCCTGTGTGGTGACCAGCTTTCGCTGTCCCAGAAACAGAAGTTGCCAAGTTGCAAAAGCTGTATTTTCACCTCTGAATTTTCACGGGTTTTCACCTCTGCCAGGCTGGACCACGCCTATAGAACACCACATTGATACTCCTCCTGGGACAGTTGAACGCAGCCACCCCTGTAGGTTGCCCAAACACAAGAAAAAATGGGTCGGGAAGAACTTGACCCCAGGCTTGATATGGGAGTAATAGAGGAGTCGAAACAGTGACCGGAGCAGCCCTGTGGTGCTTGTTCCTAAGCCCAATGGAACTTTTTGGTTCTGTGTCAATTGTAGAAAAGTCAATGCAGTGTCTAAATTTGATGTCTCATAGACAAAATTTTATGCCCCCATGCTGCGTATGCCACAGCTTATTTGGATGATATCATTATTTATAGTAATGACTGGCAGGGGCATATGCAGCATCTGAGGGCGGTTCTTAGGTCCTTGAGGTGAGCTGGACTCACGGTCAACCCGAAGAAGTGTGCTATTGGACAGGCAAAGGTGCGGAATCTGGGCTTCTATTTGGGTCATGGACAAGTTTGGCCCCAAATTGATAAAACTGCTGCAATTGCAACCTGTCCAAGACCCAAGACCAAAAAGGAGGTGAGACGGTCCCTGGGGCTGGCTGGCTATTATCGCAGATTCATTCCTAACTATTCGGATGTCACCAGCCCGCTGACCAATCTCACTAAAAAGGGAGGCCCCAACCCGTTCCAGTGGATAGAGCAGTGCCAACAGGCTTTTAACCGGGTTAAAGCAGCTCTTTCTGGGGGTCCACTGTTACACTCGCCTGAGTTTACTCTCCCTTTTACCTTATAGACAGACGCATTGGACAGGGGCTGGGAGTGGTTCTGTCCCAGTAGGTGGAGGCAGTGGACCAGCCTGTGTTGTATATTAGCCATTAGCTCTCCCTGAGAGAGATTAAATACAGCACCAAAGAAGAAGAGTGTCTAGCCATCGAGTGGGCGGTTCTCACCCTCCGCGATTACCTGCTGGGTCGACCCTTCACTCTCTGTTCAGATCACGCCCCTCTCCATTGTCTCCACCACATGAAAGATGCCAACGCCCAGATCACCAGCTGGTATCTGGCTTTTCAGCCTTGGCAAACACTTACACATGTGGCTAATTATCTCTTTCCCTACTAATATGAGCTTCTTTCCCAGTAGAGAGAGAAAGACCTGGGAGACAGGAGCACATGGGCAGGGAGACCAGCTGAACTTAAAACCACAGAGACAGAGACAACTCTGAAGCCTGCAGTAGTAAAGAGCTTTCCGCTCACAGCCTAGTGTTCTTTTGTTTGTTTCGTTATATATTTTTAGAGAAAGAATAAAAACTCTCTGCCCACTGACACCACTGCGTCATTTAAGAGTTTTAACTTGCATTTGTGGAGGCGGTGATGAACTATTTTCACAGACAGTGGGTTTCAGAAGTGTTTCTGAGCCCATGCAGTGATTTTTACTAGAGAATCATGTCTGTTTTGATGCAGTGCTGCCTGAGGGCCCAAAGATCATGGCCAGCAAATACTGGTTTTTGGCCTTGTCCCTTGCATACAGAGATTTCTCCAGATTCTCTGAATCTTTAAATGATATTATGTACTGTAGATGATGAAAAGCATATGTTCTTTGCTCTTTTGCGTTAAGAAAGATTATTCTTGAATTGTTGCACTTTTTGCCTGCGCAGTCTTTCACAGAGTGGTGAACCCCTCCTCATGTTTACCTATGAAAGACTCTCTGGGATCCTCCTATTAGCATTAGTGCTTTTTTTAGCATTACACAACTTACAAGCCTTTTGTTGCCACCATCCCAACTTTTTTGGAATGTGTTGTTGGCATCAAATTCAAAATAGGCAAATTGTAACGCAGGGTTTGTAAACCAGACACACGCGGATAAAAGTTAATCCGGAAGATTTATTCTGACGGGAGTAAACAGGGTTAACACCAGACCAGGCCAATAACCAGAACAAGCAGACGAAATACATGGGCATAGGCGAAAGCGAAGTCGAAAAAACAGGCGAGGGTCGTAACCAGAAATAGCACAAAAACCAAAACAACAAAGCCAAGACAGAGACGAGAATCGAAAACGAAAAAACAAGCGAGGTCAAACACGGAGTAGCAATCAGAAAAACAAACGGCTCGGTATGCACAGACTAGGTAAGGGCAATACTTCGCAAAGATACGTTTCAAACAAACCGGTATAAATACAGAGTGCAACAGGTGATGATGATTAGTACTCCGGTGACTGTGATCTGTTAGGTGGTTGGTGATTGGTTGGCAGAGTCTCGTGACTGACTGAAGGATTCTGGGAAGTGGAGTTCTTGGTGGTCTGGGAGTCCGAATGAGAACCAGGAAGCGTGACACAAATATTTTTTCAATAAACAGTAAAATTTCTCTGTTTCAGCATCTGATTTGTTGTCTTTGTACTATTTTCAATGAAATATAAGGTTTAAATGATCTCCAAATCATTGCATTTTGTTTTTATTTACATTTTACACAGCGTCCTAACTTTTTTGGAAATGAGATTGTAAATGTTTCTGTCTGTGTTTCATAGCAAGATCACTACAGAGTAGCCACAGTAATACTTATTTTAAATCGCTAAATAAAAATTAGACAGCTAAATAAAAGGCATTAATTAACAACTATATACTGGATTTTTTTAATATAAATTTTCTATGCATATGAAAAGCACACAGTACATCATATATTCAAGTAACCAAAGAACCTCACAACTCTATTCTGGTCACTCGCAGTATGACAGCCTTTTAGGTTCATCTGCAATGTTTAATTTATTCTGTACTTTGTTCTAACTTTGACCTTAGATATTAGATATTACTGTAAACACCCCCACCCCCCCTTACCTGTTGACTTTCACAGTAAGTTGTGATGCAATGTTATATTTCAGACGAGTGACTGATGTCAAGGACAAACTGGCCATTCATGTGTCAGTGGGAGGATTCATGCTTATGTATAAAGAGTCACTGCAAAAAACCAAATCACCCAGTTCAGCATTACTGGACAACAGGATCAGTTCTAACTGGCAGAGCAGCATCTACTTCAGATGGACAACACAGACTACAGGCAGAACATCACAGTTCAATACTGCTTTCCTGACAACAACTCATCTTGCAGGAAGGAGGTGCGAACAGGCCCTGGGCATATAATTTTGTTCATTATTCTCTCATTTGTGTCTGTGTTCACTGTGTTTCTGAACCTGCTGGTGATCATCTCCATCTCTCACTTCAAGCAGCTCCACACTCCAACCAACCTGCTCATCCTCTCTCTGGCTGTGGCGGATCTTCTCGTGGGTCTGTTTGTTATGCCTGTGAAAATACTGGAACTTGTTGACTCCTGTTGGCATCTTGGAAAAATAGCATGCTCTGTTTCTCCAATAATCAATGGTCTCTCAGTGTTAGCATCACTCTGTAGCTTAATATTTATTGCAGTTGACCGGTACATTGCTATCAGCGACCCTCTGCTTTATTCCACAAGAATCACAGCTTCCAAAATGTCTATGGTCATAATTCTGGGCTGGTCTTTCTGTTTGTTGTATATGATCATCTATGTGTACTTTAATGACCATCTTCTACAATCTCAGATGTCCACTAGATGTGATGGAGAGTGTGTAATGCTTGTAAAATATTCCTGGGTGGTAATTGACCTGGTCATTTTTTTTCTAGCTCCTTGCTCTGTAATACTGGTCTTGTATTCAATCATATTTAAAGTGGCAAGACGTCAAGCTAAAGCTGTTAGAGCTGTGACTAATGGCACCTCCTTTAAACGTGGAGCAAAAAGTTTACTCTCTGCTGAAACCAAAGCAGCAAAAACATTGGGAATTGTAATTTTTGTTTATCTTGCTTGTTGGATACCATTTTATTTAAGTTCTCTGACAGTTGAAAAGGTCACATCTTTTTCAATAGTGTGGACTGTGTTTGGCTGGCTTTTATACATGAACTCCTCTGTGAATCCACTAATATATGCAATATTCTATCCGTGGTTTAGAACATCAGCCAAATGTATTGTATCTTGTAGAATTTTTGAATCCTCATCTTCAAAGTTTGATTTGTTTCTAAAACGTTGTTAGCTTCAGACTGGATTCAGCTGAGAATCACTGACCACATTTAGGGCAAAGCTTGGAAACGTTGCTTGCATAATTAATACTGTAAGATTATTTTATTTCACTGTAGGAAACTTTATTCAAATTTGATAGGAACAATGATGATAAATGATGAAAGGTAGAACTGTTTACACATAAGGCCTTCTAAGAGAGATACTGTCTTCTATTAAGGATTTCACAGAGAGAGATTTCACTGTCCTCATTAGAGTTCACTTTACAGTAATGGAAGACATAGTTATTGCATCTGAAACATTTATTTGGATTTCTTGTCTGCTCCTTAAATCATTCTGTCGTATTGTATTTCTTTGTAACTTTTACATGCTCATATATAAATGTTATGCTACATTTCTCTAACTTAGAATAATTAGGAATCTGTAGGACACATTGTAATATGCTGGATGCAATATTTTAAGAATTTTAACACTAAAGTAAAGAATATCCCCCTGCTTTTGTTGTTGTAGCTGCTGTCAACTCTGCACTCCATCTACACAGGGCCCCAACTATTGCTCTCTAGGTACTAGAATTTTCTGGCAGTCCACTAAAATGTGAAGGGCTTCAAGTGAAAAGCGCACCACACATTACACAGAACTATGAGCCTCAGCTAATGTATGTATGTACAAGCTTAGCGCAAAATGTGCTGTGACTGCAATATGCACTGAGAGTTTATCTACTTTAATTAACAAAGGACCACAAACTGCACAGAGGATCGCTTACAACCTGTGTGCACATTTGAGTCATACTATTTATATGATGCATTAATGAAGCTGTAATAAAGAAGCCATTAACAAGCTCAATTAAGAAAACAAAAGAATCAGCGATGAAAAGAGATCAGTGTCAATGAATGAAGGTGTTTCCCACCAAAATATTCTACAAAGCTGTATTTCAACTACTGCTGAAAGCCAGATTTAAGATACATATAATTGTTCACTGCATGTCCAAAAGTAGGTCGACACCCCTCCTAATAATTACTTTACGTGCTTCTGCCACACCCATTTGCTAACAGGTGTATTAAATAAAGAACCTAACCATGCAATCCGTAGAAGAACACTGGCAGTAGATTTTCTGCTCTGCTTGATCTTCTGCGGTCAACCTATAGTTGCGAATTGTGACAAAATCCACAACGGCTCAGCCATGAAGCTGTAGACCACATAAACACATAGAATGGCACCACCAAGTGCTGAACCGCATAGTGCATACCTTGCACACAAGCTTATGATCACTCTATGCAATGCATAGTGTTGGCATAGCGAGTGGTGTAAAGCATGCCACCACTGGACTCTAGAGCAGTGCAAATATTTTCTCTCTTGAGAAGAATCATTCTTCACTGTCAGGCAGTCTGATGGAAGAACCTATGTTTAGCAGATGCCAGGAGAATCCTATGTACCAGAATGCATAATACCAACAGTAAAGTTTGGTGAAGGAGGTATTTTTCAGGGTCTGGGTTTGGCGTCTTAATTCCAGTGAAGGGTGATGTTAATGGTAATTCTATGTACCCATTTTTTGGCAACAACTTGGGAAAGGCTCTTTCCTGTTCCAGCATGATTGTACCCCTGTGCACAAAGCGAGCTCTATAAAAACTTGGTTTGATGAGTTTGGTGCAGAGGATCTCTAGTTGCCTGCATAGAGCCCTGACCTCAACCCCCCTGAACACCTTGTGAGCCAGGCCCTCTCATCCAACATCACTGACCTCACAAATGCTCTTTTGACTGAAAGTGCCCAATTTCTCACAGGCAGTGAAAATGCTTCCTAGAAAAGCAGAGGATGTTATAGGTGTAAAAGTAATGTCAACTCCAAATTAATACCAATTAGTTTGGTGTAGGATGCCAAACAAATTCATATAGGTGTGATGGTCAGGTGTCTACATACTTTTGGCCATGTAGTGTATGTGAATGCATTTGATTGATGCCTGCACATACTCACAGATATGCAGACGTATAAATCAGCCTTAAAAAGACATCATGAAACAGTAACACAGAATTCACATGTGAATTGTTTGGCCAAAAGTATGTGGACACCTACTCACCACAACCTATGAGTTTGTTGGTATTCCGAATTCTAAAACAGTGCTGGTCTCACTTTGATACTATAATAGCTTCTATTCTTCTGGAATGGCTTTCCACAAGATTTTAAAATATGTTTTTGTGTATGTATGCCCATTGCTCCACAGAGGGATGAAGTGCAATATAATCACGTGTAATCAGGGGGTCCCTATGTTCCACTGTGGGCTGAACACTTAAGTCTTACTTCAGTATTACAGAATATAAATTAACAATTTACAATGCTACTGCATACTCTAAGCATAATATAAATAGATAAAAAATAAAACATGCCACCATATCACATGTATCACATGTAAGAACCACTGTCCATGATACATGCAGGATCTAATGTAAGGCACTGGATCGAAATGTTCCAACAGGGGCCTATTTAAGTCCATAAATAACAGTGAAGAAACATTCCGTTCATGTAAACTGCTGTGGCTTTGGGTAGCAATGTTGTTGATGGCAGAAAACCCTCACTCACATTTTGCAGAAGAAGGGAGATAAGTTTGACTTGTTATACACAGTGTTTTGCCCTGTGGTTTGCCCTGCAGCTTTCAATCTCTGAAATGCTCCATTGCCTCCCTAGCTGGTTCATTCAGTAGCTTGGCAAAACTGTTTACTTCTTTTTCTCCATGAAAAATTAAGGCTTCTCGCTCATCTGACAAAACACTTGTCAAAGGGTTGGGGCTAAAGAAACAAATTTTGTTTCCAGCCTATGTTTTGCATCTTTTTAGAGAGCCCCCAAAAACTAGATTTATAGGGGTCCGAAGGGTTTATTTTCTGAATCTTAGAAACCTGGGACCCCCCTATGTTTTGCATTTTGGAGGCCAAAACTGGAAAGGTACTTCCACCAATCTGTTATCACAGATGGAAGCATAGAGTTGTCTAAAATGTCACTGTATGCGGTATCATCCACGTTACCCTTCATTGAAATTTTGAGGTCCACAGCCTTGAAAATGGACCCAGACCATTATACTGTAAGCAGTGTGCAATGGAGGTAGCCCTCCCCTGACACCTGCCTAATGAAGATTCAGCCATCAGACTGCCAAATAGTGAAGCAGGATTCATCACACCAGAGAAGACATTTCCACTGCTCCAGAGTCTGCTTTGCTAAGAGAACCAAGCTTGCAGGGGTCTGCTCACAAAAGCTGGCCGTCCTCAGCATTGCCTCATGAGTGAAGCTGGGGGAGGGTCCGCTAAAAGTGCTGTGCGAGGAGGCAAAAGTGTGGGAGGAGTTCTGAGACTGCTGCATTTTGGTTTTTACTGAAATGTGCCTCAGTGACAGCATTCCCAATGCCGCTATTCAGCTGGACAGGCTGGCCCGTGCCGACAGAACTGCAGCTCTGATGAGAAAGACACACGGAGATGGCATATGTGTTTACATTAACATGGAATGGTATAAGAACTCTGTGCTTGTCGCAAAGTACTGCTCTCTGCTGGTGGAGTTTGTGATTATCAAATGCAGACCTTTACAATGGGAATTCCCTTCTGCGTTCATAGCAGTGGTCTACTATTTCAACTATTTCTTAGTTGAAATGACAAAAAAGCCTTTTTAATTTGAACTTGAAGAGTCCAGTGGCAACATTCTGTCCATCACTCCAGCTGACACTTGGCAATGTGCATAGTTACTTAAGCTTTTGTGCAACTGCTTGACCACAGAAACTCATTTCATTGAGCTTTCATGCACAGTTCTTGTACTGATGTTGCTTTCAGGGTCAGGCTGGAACTCATGCAACAGAGCATAGGTTATAAACTGATAACGTATATTGCTCTTAGACACATCTATTTTTATTTTTTAAGGATTTTTCCCCGATTTTCTCCCCAATTTAGTCATCTCCAATTCCACCCACTACCTAGGACTCCTCCAATCACACGATACAACCAATGCCAGGAGGGTGAAGTCTAACACAGGCTTCCTCCGAGACCTGTAAAGCCACATCTTTTCAAACTGTTGTTCACGCAACGTCATTGGACAGCCAAATGCACCAACTGCTAGATATGTTATGTCAGCTAACAGACGCCTGCGCTGACTAGCATTGCGTTGAGTGATGGGGGGAGAAGGGGGGCCATCCTACCCACCCAGAGAGAGCGAGGCCAATTGTGCTGTCTTGGACTCCCGGCCACGGATGGCTGTAGCATCACCAGGGATCGAACTCGCAACACATCTGTTTTGAAATAATATCACTTACTGATGGCTGAAGCAGTTCTATAAGGACAGAAATTTCATAAACTGATTTGTGGCAAAGGTATCGTCCTATGACAGTGGCACATTTAAAGGTGAGACAAATTGTGCAGCAGCTGTTTAGCAGCTGTGTCTGCTTCTATTGTTTAAGGAAATCTCCTAGTAACATGCTTTTGAGACCGTCCTGATCATTTACCAGTGGTCTTGAAAAGGTAAAAATTCCATGCAGAACATGGCTCAAATTTTAGTACATGTAATCAACCACTCTCGTAATATCTGCACTTTTTTGTGTGAACCATCTGCATATGCATGTGCATGATGGAGAGAAAAACACTTTATTTTCATTTGTCCATTCACATGGCCTATAAACTACATGTTTAGGTTTGTATGCCAGCATCACCAGCATCACTTATTTTCAGCTCACACCGAAAGTGATGATGTAACATCTAGTGTGAGTGACTGAAGAGGCAAGGTAGCCATTCATATGTCGGTGGGAGGATTCATGCTTCACTATAAAGAGACATGCCAAAAGCCCAAATCTGTCAGTTCAACATTACTGGAGAGCACAACCGGATCAGTTCCAGCTGACAGATCTGCAAATATTTCAGATGGATAACACAGACAACAGGCAAAACATCACAGTTCAATACTGCTTTCCAGGATATAACTCATCTTGCAGGAAGGAGGTGCGAACAGGCCCTGCTTACATATTTTTATTCATTACTCTCTCATGTATATCTGTGTGCACTGTGTTTCTGAACCTGCTGGTGATCATCTCCATCTCTCACTTCAAGCAGCTCCACACTCCAACCAACCTGCTCATCCTCTCTCTGGCTGTGGCGGATCTTCTCGTGGGACTGTTTGTTATGCCAGTAAAAATAATGCAACTTATGGACTCTTGTTGGTATCTTGGAAAAATAGCATGCATTAGTTCTGAAATAATTGTTGCTCTCTCAATGTCAGGATCTCTTTGTAGTTTCATTTTCATTGCAGTTGATCGATACATTGCAGTCAGTGACCCTCTGCTTTACTCTAGCAGAATCACAGTTTGTAAAATGTCTGTTTCTATAGTTCTAGGCTGGTCTTTTTGTCTGTTGTATGTCATCATCTATTATTACTTTAATGACCATCTTCTTCCATCTCAGATAACCACTGAATGTTTTGGAGAGTGTGTAGTGTTTGTAAAGTATTCCTGGGTGATTGTTGACCTCATCCTTTTTTTTCTGACCCCTTGCTCTGTAATACTGATTTTGTATTCAATCATTTTTAATGTGGCAAGACATCAAGCAAAAGCTGTTAGAGCTGTGACTAATAGTATCTTACGCAAACATGGATCCAAAGTCACACGCTCTTCTGAAACCAAAGCCACAAAAACATTGGGAATTGTCATTTTTGTTTATCTGACTTGCTGGATACCTTTTTATTTAAGCTCTCTCTCAGTTGAACATGTCACATCTTTGTCATTAGTGTGGTCTGTGTTTGGCTGGCTAATTTACATTAACTCCTCTCTGAATCCTCTAATATATGCCATATTTTATCCATGGTTCAGACAATCTGTCAAGTATATTGTTACTTGTAGAATATTAGATTCTTCATCTTCAAGGCTGAATTTGATTCCATAATGTTTTTGTTTTTTTTTTTTATTTCAGATTGTATTCAGCTGACACAGTTTATAGGTGCTGACCGCATTGAGGACAGTGTCCTGAATAATGAATAGAAACTCTGTTTACTTTATTTGTGGTTTTAGATGAAAAAGGATTATCTCAAATTTAATAGGAGTAACAATGACAGAAGAGAGGCAGAGATAAGCCATACAACCAACTGAAACAGACACAGGCCCCTGTTTTTGATCACATATCCTTAATGCCTATGTCTTTAAATTTATCTTAAGAGATTTCAGCATTTCAAGCATTTATTGGATCTGATATATTTATTTTAATTATGTATGATGCTAGGACTCCAGTCTTATGATTATCCTTTGTAAACATAAATGCCTGTATACAAATATTAACATTTTAGATTAAAGATTCAAAACGCTTTTAGATTTAGATTCAAAATGTTTCCCTACTATAGAATTATGTTTTAAAATGAGAAATAAATAAATCAATCAACAACATATAGGGATAATCTGTGTTTGCTTTTACTTCTAGAATTACTGACTGCTGTCAGTTCCATTTTTATCCAAGTCAGTAGTGGCACTAAATATCAACTCACCTTGATATTTATTCCGGTTCAAGTCACCTGCAACATTTTCTATGTGGGATTTGTGGCATTGTTACAAATATAGGATCTCATACTCTGCAAAGTCATGCTCCATGTGCTCCACATGCAGTGCACACATACCCCTATACATTGTAAAGACAACACTCTCCCTAATTATTGTCCCCCGTTCCCCCTACACTCAAACTGTCCCCGCGTTCCTCACACACTTAAACAGTTATGCACGTAACAAAAAAGTAATGTATTGCTGCAAATGTGCATTGCAACACTTACCAGCTTAATGGATGCACAGAATGAAATGCACTGGATGCAATACTTTAATAAAGTCAACACTGAGACAGTTTAATTTTTGTGTGAGATATAAGATTCTGACAATGGAGGTGATTATAGCATGCAGTTTTTATCAGACAAGCTATGAACAGAGTGCCTGAGGCTGAAATTTACTGAAACTTGCTTACAATAAAACTCTTCTTCATCCCACAGCTCATACATCAAATCTGCCACTAGCCCCCATTTCCTACCAACAAGGTACTTTTCATTAATGTCAGGAACACTCATGGTAATGATGACTAATCACACCGATGAATCTTTTAGAGCTAGATTTTTTTGCTCAACATTCAAGCTCTCCTGGTTTAGATGTTATTTCTGAATTTTATTTAAAGCCATTTATGACAAGTAAGCGGGATACCCTCAGCATTTTCCAACTGGTACTCCCCAAGTTTAATGGGGTTTTGTTGCTCAGATGTCATGTTAAATGGTTTGAGATGAGTCAATTTTACATGACAGTCAAATGACCCACCTGCATCCTTTGCTCTGATGACATAGTCACTGATTGATTATGTCAAGTATTGTGCCAACTGCATCGTGCTGCATTATTTTGAACTTGAAAACAATCAAATAAGTTTAGTTCACCCACACAGAGGGCAAATAATTGGAAAGCAGTGCACGATTTTCAACCCACCATTCAATAGATGTCAAAGCTTCAATTATTTAACACCAATTTCTAAATATTAAACAGCTTTGATAACCAGGAGAGAGTAACTGGTTAGTGTTAGCTTAGCTGCATGCTGCCAGCTCTACTCACCACTGAACAGGTTTGATTCTGACTAACCAAAACTTTGCTGACTCAAATTTAGATGGTAGTGACTCAACTCTGATGAAGTGAAGTCAAGCCACCAGTCTCTGGTGTCTAGAGCTTGAGCCTCCAAGCTAAGCTAATGCCGGCTGGGCCCGCTCTTATAGCTGACTTAACATAGCTGAAGAGATCCAAACACCCCAGTGCAGGTTCGATTTGACTCATTGATGCTCTGCTATCTCAATTATAAATGATTAAACTCATAACAACCAGAGCAAAGTCCACTGATTGATGGTGGAGTAACAGAAAGCCGAAATTGAACCTGTTCTGTAGTGCTTTAAGCTGTAGCTTGCTAGCCTAAGCTAACACGGTGTCTCCCACAGCAGTACATGCTCAGTTTTAGTGAAATGATTATATACACCCGTTTAGAGGATAACACACGTATGTGAGAGCATAAATTTGAAAGACTAGTGTTGAAATGAAAGAGAGGTAAAACATAGAATTGTTCTGTGGTGCTTTGAGCTGCACCCTGCTGGGGGCTAATGCTAATGTAGCTAGTTATCAGACTATGGGTAAAACCCACTGCAGTACAGGCTGTTTCAGTAACAGATGCTCAAAGAACACCCATTTAGAGGATAACGAAGATGAGAGCATGCCGAGAGACTGGAAATGAAGTGACAGACGGAATCAGACATGTTTTGTTGTGGGTGGTGTGTGCGTGGCTATTAGCCTGTTAGCAGTTAGATACTTGTTTGTGTAGTTTTTTGTTTTTCTGGGTATTTCCTGGTTCTGATTTAGTGGTACAACAGATGAAAAAAGAACTGGTCTTACGAGTCCGGACCAGCGTGGAATGTCCCAGTAAGGCCCTGAGAATTATTTGGACCAATAGTGGAAAAGAGGCCCTTGGAGGTACCACTTCTAACCTTCAATGTTTCCCTTCTAGCCCTAGGCAAAGAATATGCCCAGAGGCTTCACCAGAGTGCGCAGCTCAGCACACCACCAACTTTTCCTCTTTTTTCTATATCATTTCCAGCTCCGCAGGCTTGCCACTATACTAGCTTGCCTGCCACTATCCGTTATGCACCTCACCTACACAGAGCCCCAACCCTTGCCCTTTGGGTGGCATGATAATAATGTGCAAAGAGTTAATGTTAAAAGCACAGAATATATTATACAGTCAAAGACTTCACTGCTGCATCTCCTCACAGCAACACCTGCATAAGAGCTGCTTCACAGAAATCTGTTTAAAACCTAATATATCAGACAGTGCTGTTCAACCCCTCTATCTACCACAATGGGGAGGCTACTAGCAAGGGAAAGGGAGGTGGCGTTTTCTTTACTTTTTTCTTTTCTTTACCCATTGTGCACTGAAGTTGAACCATCATGAAACCTTGCAGTTCTGTACTTGATTGTTTCACAATCAAATGTTGTATTTTCAACCTTCCTTGTGATTGTTCCTGTGTTTTTCACAGGTGTCTATCTATCACCAAATGGTAAAGCTAAACATGAAAACTGCTACCTGGACATACTATCAGTGGGACTGTGACCCTGAAAAGGTACTGCCAAAATATTATCAACATGTGTTCTGTCCAGCAAACCATGAGATTGCAATTCATCGTTTTATTCATAAAAACTAATATGCCCTTCAGCCTAGCCCAATTTCAGTTCACATATCGCCACACTGTTCAATCAATGATGCCATCTTGCTCACTCTGACACACCTGCAGAAGTAAAATATCTATGTATTGTGCATCAGCTGAAAAGGAAACACAAGGAAGGCCATGCATCTGCTGCAAGGAGTACTTTTTATTAAATACACTAGCTGAAAGGCACATGCAAAACACGAAACCACAGGGGAGGTCACTACTAGCAACACACTTCACCCTGACAGTGACCACCCAAACAAAAGCTACAACCTCTCACACTAAATAACACAATAAACACATACACATGACTTAAACTAACAGACAACAATAAACAACACAGTAAATGTCTTTTGGAGGGTGTATAAATTCCATAGGCCTTTACGCATGGCTGTCTGCATAGCCACGCCTTGGAGTCAGTGCTGACCAGTAGTGGGTCACTACAGTATGCTGATTTAGAAGTATATACTTGAAAATAGGCGTTCCTTATGAACTGTTGTTAAAACTGTGTGGCTTGGGTCTGTGAAGCTCTGTATTCGGTTTTCTGACCAACAGACATCTTAAGTGAGAATTGAAAAGACAGCCAGTATGGGAACCTTCCCTATTACCCCATGTGTACTTTTGTTTATATTTATATTTTTCTATGTATGAGCGTGCTGTTGTACTCTAAAACACAAACAAAAATGAAGCAATCTTTTAATGTTTTTTTTTTCTTGTAATTATCTATAGACCAGTGATTCTCAATTCAAGGCTGAGAAACCCTGCCATCATTGTAAAAACACTCACCAACTTCCCCTGTTTTCAGGTGACCACCAAAATAAATAATGACGTAACATTGAATTAGGAGGGACTGATGTAAGAGACATACAAGCCATTGATGTGTCAGTGGGAGGAGTCATGCTTTGTTATAAAGAGACAAAACAGAAAGCCAAATCTGTCAGTTCAGCTTTACTGGACGACATATTTCAACATACCTTTTCCAGATGGACAATATCACAGTTCAATACTGCTTTCCTGACATTAACTCATCATGCAGAAAGGAGGTCCGAACAGGCTCTGCTAATATATTTTTGTTCATTTTTCTCTCATGTGTATCTGTGTTCACTGTGTTTCTGAATCTGCTGGTGATCATCTCCATCTCTCACTTCAAGCAGCTCCACACTCCCACCAACCTGCTCATCCTCTCTCTGGCTGTGGCGGATCTTCTGGTGGGTCTGTTTGTTATGCCTGTGAAAATAATGCAACTTATTGACTCCTGTTGGTATCTTGGAAAACAGGCATGCTCTATTTCTGAAATGATCATCGCCCTCTCAGTTTTAGCATCTCTCTGTAACCTGGTTTTCATTGCAGTTGACCGGTACATTGCTGTTAGTGACCCTCTACTATATTCCAGTAGAATCACAGTTTGTAAAATGTCTATATTTCTAATTCTTGTCTGGTCTTTTTGTCTTTTGTATCTTATCACTTATTTTTACTTTAATGACCATCTTCTTCAGTCTCAGATGTCTGTTAGATGTTATGGAGAGTGTGTAGTGCTTCTCAAATATTCTTGGTTGATTATTGACCTGGTGTTTTTTTTTCTAGCCCCTTGCTCTGTGATAGTAGTCTTGTATTCAATCATTTTTAATGTGGCGAGACGTCAAGCTAAAGCTGTTAGAGCTGTGACAAACAGTGTCTCACACAA